GCAGGAATATGTAATACTCATGTAGTAGAACCATAAACAGGCTGTACAGAAGAAATTATTACAATCCTACTTCCACTAACTCCTATCAATTTATAAGGTAGAAGCCTGGAACCTTTATTTTCAACTATATTATTATTCAAGCAAGAAAAATATACAATACAATAAAAGCTGTGTTAACCGGCATTCTGCTAGCCGGAATACTCTATTAACTGGAATTTCTGGCTGGCCACCCATCACCCTGCGCTGCCACTACTCTGTGTGTGGCCACTGCCACCCCCCACCCCCAAAAAGGTTGAAAACCCCTGCCTCAGATACCTGGAATTTTTAGATGCCCAGAACCCGTTCCCCATTCGTACCAGTTAACACAGCTTTTACAGTACATAGGAAAGTTGAGGTACACAGAGTACCTGCAGAATTCCAAACCTGACGACGTCTGGAATAGGATGCAAGATTTAGATTCTAAAATGTCCTGGTATTTGACTGCTAGGTACGCTCTCCCTGCCTATCCCTTATGGTTGACTCATCCATCTCACTGACATTTCCCTAATTGGGACACAGAATAAATATGTCATTTATTCACCAACATCAAATGGAATTATCCTGCCTTGAGCTGGGACTTGGATTAGAGGACATCCTGAGGTTCCTTCCAGGCCTATGTTTCTATGATAAACATAAGCAGATTCCACAGGAAATCAGGGCTATCCATGAAGAGATCTAGCACCTTCTCAATAGTTCTGAGGTGTTTCAAGAGCAGCAGGAACCACAATGTCAAAGCTTCCTCTGTCAGAAGCTGCCATCTTATGGATGAAGAGCTAAGGGGAAGTTCCACTGAAAAGAAAGGGGCTACTGGAAACTTCATAGAGTTTTACGGCTTTCCAGATATTCTTCACTGATATCACTAAGTTAACAATGCACTTCTCCTCCAGTTTTATATATCTTTAAACAGGCAACTGTCACAGAAGCTGATCACAATTGTGGACAGGAAACTAAGGGCTCTACAGAAGGGCCCTTGAGGGGTGCATCTCAGGGACAGAATACGTACTCAGCAGACTACATTCCTCTAGCATGTGAGCTATTAATTTATGACTATGGGTGAAATATAATTTTCTGTGTACATTCACCACCAAAGACGATGGCAGAAACTGTTGGATCACACCTAGTCAATCTCTTCCCCAATACGGGGCTGTTCTACTTATATTTACTTGTACTTTGTTCAATCTAGTTTAAGAATCCTGAAGATGGAGCTTTCAAAATGGACACTTAAGTATATTTTTATATCAGCAATAATCACACTGGCAGCATACTGATCAGTTGAAACAGAGGTTGGCAACTTATGACCCATGAGCTGAATTGGGACCTCAGTGCCATTTGATCTGGCCTGTGGACACTGGACTTCAGTGGTATTTAGGAGTGGGGAGCTTTGGCAGCAGCTGCTTTCCCCCGCTGACATGGGGAAAAGTGCTGGCTGTGGGTGCTCCCCATAGGCTATTGTGGGTGTTTCCCCCATGATGCAGCTGGGAGAAGTGGGAGTGGTGGCTGGGTCATACCTGCCACCTCTGACCTGAACTGGATCAATCCGGCCTGCTGCCTTAAAAGGTTGCCGACAGCCGAGTTTTATAAGGTTGATTTCTATTACGAATAATGGATACAGACAAAACAAAGGATACGTATAATGACAGAAGAAGAACAAATTTAGAGTCACTGGGCACATCTACACAAGACACTTAATGTGCAGAAGAGTAATTCTACTGTGCAGTGGGCAAAGCCCACATACCGTCATTATAGGTATTAAACTTAATGTGCCTAATTACAATGCATTAATGAACGTGTAGATATGCCCACAGAGTCCCCCAAAAAAGATTTTCACTGCAACTTTGTGCAGCATAAGATTTACTTTAATATCATGTGGAAGAGTGCCATCTACTGTCGATATGAGCAAGTTCTTATGTTGCACAATTACAAGGTTCCTATCTGCACTTTCATCAGGGTTAATTCTTACTCAAATTGAAGTCAACAGGCTCACCATGGTTAATGCAAGAGCAATAACCAGATGGCTTGCTTTAAATAAAACAGTCTAGGTTTAGTAAATTACTCTAGATAATATAGGCATCACTGAAACAAGTTATTTGACACTTAGTTTCCTGAATTTTAGATTGGGTTTCAAATATAATAAAGTTTTCAAATGTACAACTACTTTCTAACTTGCTGAATTACAAAAGGCGGTAATTTTAAGCCAGGGCAGAGGGTTTTGTTTTTTGTGTGTGGACAGTTAGTATTATTACTACATTCATTTCAAGAAACTAGATAAATGGTGGAGGTATCTTTCTCTCAAAATTGAACTTAAATAAAAATGACATGCTTAATGAGTTACATTTTAAATAAAGCATGTCAAGCACACATAAGTCTGAGGATTTTTCCTCATTAGAAACAATGAAACCAGGTCATTCTAATTTATTATGCTCTAGCAGTAAGATCCATATACATAGTTGTGATACTGCCATCTGCCACTTTGTAACTATCCTGTTGTTGAGAAATGCCTCTGTAAACTAGTTTATGATCATAACATGCAAGCCTATTAGTATTATGATCTAAGAATCAATGTAGTATGACTTGTTGGGAATGGGCAACTTTCTACGCGCCACAGTAATTCAAATAACCAAACTCAACACAGTACTAGGCCATTCTTACATGTTAATGATCAACAACAGATTCACTTTCCCCCATCTGCAAAGGCTGAAGAGAATCTATTTGAGGAGCCTCAAATCAACCTCTCACACACTAGAATGACATACAGTAAAGTTATTTCAGAAAACGCTGGTGGTACAATTTATACACTTAAAAGGTAACGATATCCCATAGCACAGTTTTTCACATTGTCATTTTGCAGCCATGTACCTTTGTTATTGATTTTACAAATACATATTTTTAGGGCTGCAAGTTGTAAATTATTTTTGTAAGTATTGTTTAGCTTCGTAAAAATCCTGAATTGTTATGAAATTTTTATGCAGAGCTTATCAGAAATGATAATAGCCAGTGCTTGCAAAGATAATGTAGCATACCTAGTATATTTTTAGAATACAATATAATTTGAGTTTCTGTGGAAATGTAATCCCTTACAGTGAAGCAAAAGGTCATTCAGAAATGAGTGACATTAGTCTTGCCTCTCAAATATACCCTCCTAAATCTGAGTATAATCAGTGGATTGGTTTTAATCTTTATTTCCTAACAACAGGATTCAATATTTTTCTAAATTTAGTCTGAAGGGAGACATATCAGGTACTTGTTTTCAGGGATTTCATTACAGGAAATTAATCTCGCTTTTGAGGAAAAAAAAAGAAATATACTTTATTCTCTCAAGGTTTGTGTTTTTGTGTTGGCATGTCACGATAAGGAACGTTGTCTAGTAGCAGATCTTTCCTGGGTATAAGCACTGCAACAGAAAAAAAAAGATCTGTAAGAATAATATTTTACCATAATGATCCACAAAAATATATGGCATTTATCATCTTTACAAGCAATGGAGCAGTTTACTACAGAGCACGTAGTTTTAAGGTAAACCTAAAAAAAGCATTATGGTAATTTTTGAAGCTACCAAGAGAGCATTAACTTTTTACCTCCTGTGCATCAGAAAGTCTCCCCCACAAAGTTCACCTTTTTGCTGTTAAAAATATCTCTGAAAAATCTTTGAAGCAGCATATTTTCATTGCAACATTCTTCTACTTTTTGCAAAACAGAACAGCATATTATATTAATTCCTGGTAAACCCAACTCAGATGTTTATTTAAATTTTCAAATCCATAAAATTAAAATCTAAAATGAAGCTTTCAGACATGTCACTTGAAGTCTTTAACCTTTAATTATGCTAGATCTGCTTTAAAAAAAAAAACAGGAAGAGAAAGTGCCAGATGACATTTACTGTTTACTAAATCTTCAAAAACAGCAGGAGAGAGTAGTGTGTTGGATTCTGTTTGGCTGCGCACTATGTTATCTGCCCGTGGCTCAGAAAAAGTTCTGACCATCTGGCTCCTTGGACATCCATGTGGGAGTTCTGCACCTGAGGGCTGAGAGATTTGTGCCAACAGCACAGCTATAAGCTGAAGTACAATGGTTGCAAACATAACTGTACTTTGACTATTCAGGTAGGTACTAAAGGTACAGTAAACCTTTAAAATGTTCCAAATTCCATTCCATGTGTGTAATGAGCTACATTACGCCCAAAGTATGCTGTTTTTCCATATATTCCAGAAAAGGGAGGAAATTGCTTCCTTTAAAGCTGCATTTCTTTTGCAGCTTCTGGTCTCGGTATTGAAAAACTATTTAACACATTTCTAAACCATTTGAATAATATTTTATTTGTGTTCCTAGCATAAAGGAAGCATTCATGACCTAGCTCATGTCTGTCTTTTCCTCTACATCAGGAATGTGCGCATGAGAATGAAATACAAGTTAAAAAATAGGAGAGAGAGGAAGTAACAGAAAAACAAACAAAGATTGAGAGAAAAGAATACCTAGCTTCTTTTGTCAAAAAGCAAAGTTTTGTATACACACCTTCTGTCACTATAGCAAACCTAAAGTAAAAAACATCAGGATGCATGGCATGTTTGGTATATAATGGAAAGATAAGCTCTACTTATATCAGCTTGTTTGGCAAAATAAAGCAAGTTACACACTGTGAATAATTTGACTTGACAGGCTGCACAGTAATGTCCTACAGAAAATATCTGTTTAGCAAGACTGTCTAACAACATAAAAACCTAAGCTGCAAATCTACTTTCTTTATTAACAAGTAAGCTTCAAACCTATTAAGCTGAACTTTTTAAAAACATACTAATTAATCTAATGATAGCTAAGTATCACTTTGTGTCATAATCTTAAATAAAGAAAATAATATTGCTGAAATATATGTAAAGCTAAACTTACAACAGTGTAATATGACTCCATCTGTTTAAAGGAAAAAATATACTGCATGTTATACAACACTTATCTTCCCAAGCTCCAGTCCTAGTTTTGGACTTCTGATTTCAAGAAACCTCATTACATTACAGTTATTTAAGAAATGTGAGATTCCAAACATGCCCTAAGTAGCTTATGGGTTGTCAGCTATAAAAGATCTTGGTGGTAACACAGTCACAGTCCACAGCTATTAGGGCTGTGCAAAATTTCACTGGGTGTTTCGTTTTGAAGCTGTTTTGAGCTCAAAACAGTGACATTGAAATGAAACAAAAGGCTTTGAAACAAACACCCGGCAAGGGCATGCTAAATGTTTCGAAAGTTTCAAAACATTTCGAGTTTCGAAGCCTGGCTTACTTGGCTTCAGCGCCAGTCCCAGGTGGCAGCGGTAGCCTCCTGTCATCCGGTAGGCAGATCCGGGGGCTCGCAGCCTGGGAGGGTTGCGGGGCTGTGCCTGACTCCTCCCAGGGGTGCGAGCCCCTGGATCTATGCACCAGATGACAGGAGGCTGCTGCCTGGGACCAGTGGCAGCAGCAATCTTCCCTGGAACTGGGCGTGGGCTGTGCCCAGTACTGATCCCAGGCGACAGCCTGAGCTTCCTCTCATCCAGCGCAGATCTAGGGGATTGCACCCCCAGGAGGAGTCCGGAACAACCCAGCAGCCCTCCCGGGGGTGTGAGCCCCCAGATCTACGCCCCGGTGAGAGGAAGCTCACCCTGCTTGTCCCACCTGGGACTGGCACCCCCCCACTCACCTCTTCGCCTGGCTCCTGCCCCCCACTCATGCTCTACACAGCTTAGCAGCATCAGCAGCCACACTCTCAGCATCCTGCATGGCGGGGGGCAGCATGGCTTCACCCCAATCCAAGGAGGATTATTCTGCACTGGTCCGGTCCTGCAGGGAGCGTACCAGGAAAGCCAAGGCTGCAACTGAACTCCAACTAGCATCGAGCATCAAGGACAATAAGAAGTCCTTTTTCAGATATGTGGGGAGCCGGAGGAAAAGCAGGGGCAACACTGGACCCCTGCTGAGCCAGAT